TTGTATGATTTAATTCATTAATTTATAGCTTTTATCTGTTGGATCATAAATATTTTTTTCTTCAGGAGAGTAACGTGCAGGCTCTGGACATCCTCTTCACTTACCATGGAGCGGATCTCCTCCAGCACCGACTAGCCCTCCTTAACAATTTCCCAGAAACCACCTCTCCACACGAGTACACCATCCTGCTGCCTGAGGCCTGGTGAGACCCACACAAATACACATGGTCCTAAAGATATAGATCAGTTACAATCTCACCTAAAAACAAGAGGTCGAACTGTTCTCTCTTATCAATTTAAACATGTGTTTTAATGAGAATTGAGCAGTGTCCAGTCACCAATGACTCAGAGCTGAGTGTATCGGTGTCAATGACATGTTCTAGTTCAATTATCCAGTGGAACTTAAGAGAACATATGTTATTACACCAACAGCGGTCGCCAGAGGCATCATGCTGTCTTTCCCTCCATCTGTCTATCACATTCTAGTGATCATGAAAACTCAGAAAAACCTTGAGGGAATTTCCTCAAATTTGGCACAAACATTCACTTGCACTCAAGGGTGAACGCGTGAGATATGGATTGTACCTGCAACTCCATTGATTGGATGAGGTACACAGTTCTGAGGAGGCCATTCTTGTTCAGATTGTGTGTTTTAAGGTCACTGAAAAGAGCTTGAGATTTTGTCATTGTTAAATTCCAGATTTTGCCATTTTATCTTTGTCTAATCTGATCTCTAATGAACAAAAAAACGTTACATGTTTGATATGGAAGTTAAGGTATTTGAAAATATTTCTTTTCTATAAATCGGTGCATTGGCTCAGTCTAAAAGGGTCTAAAAGTAAAAATGTGCACATTTACACAAACTGAAAAACTAGTAGCCTGTCATTTTATGCTCCCATATTATTATTCTTTGATTCTCCTCATACAACAATTGCTATTGTGGCATATACAGTAAAAACAGCATGCGTGACCACAGGGTCACACAGCTTTTCTTATGTCTGTAAATGAATATTTACACCTCTGGAACGTACAAGTCTCTTTTCACAACATCACAAATTGAAACCATTCAACATGAGATTCATATCCCTTATAGAGCACTTGCTGAAAGACCTTTCACACGTTGTCTTCTTTGTCTTCGCCTTTACACAGCTGGAGTCATCTTCTGTCCTTGAGAAACACACACAAACACACACACATACACACACAATCACACACATACACACACACACACATACACACACACACACGCACATACACACACACACATACACACACACGCACACACACACGCGTTCTTCCATTACACTAGTGTAAGCAACGGCTTCAGGGCTGACTCTGTCACACAGGAAAGAAAATAATAGGAAAGAGACTCAATGGCCACCTTTTTAAAATTTACATATAAAGTATGAACACCTTAAAATGATACAATACTGGCTGCAATAATTGCAACTGTAGTTTTTGGTCTGCTTTTTCGACCTCAAAATACATTTCATCTGTGAGAATCAAAGAGCACTGAAGGGGAGAAGTTTGCGAGAGGGGATGTGACAAGGAGATGATGGAGTGTTTTGGAGGGGAAGAAATTTCTGATTGCCCTTATGGTTCTGTAACAGAGGTGACAGACTCTTCATTTCTCCTCACCTTTATCATCTTCCTTCACCATTCCTATGTTCTCTCTCTGAGTATTTACCATATTCATATACCACATCGTCATTTCTACAAATAAACACATGCACAAGTCTAAAGTCCCCTGGAGTCATGAGCTAAAAAACATTTACCATATAGAAATAACTCCTCATATAGTTTTTACACACGCAGGCACGCACACATACACACTCCTCTATACTGCACCCTTTTATTAGCCATGTCTGAGTTTGTATGGAGGTCAGGCGGCTGTGGCTCTGCAGTGGGCATCCATCATGGCTCTGCCGCTGTGGGGCAGTTTCCTATTTTCCCCAGCCTGTGAGCACCAACTGCTGCCTCAACAGCACTCGCTCCGACACTGCAGCAGAAGGAGCCGGCCCAAGCCATCTGTTTGGAGCTCACTCACTATTTATTTACTAAAGTCTTGCTTCACTGGAAGGGGGAAAACTTTCTCCTGCAATATTGATCAGTTTCTATGAGGGAACCCTCTACACATGGAAGAATGCAGAACAGTTGTGTTTTTGTTGCAAGAACTTTGCCTGCAGCTCGAAAGGGTGCAGCCCAGTGGAAATGAAAATAAGCTCAAATGCCATCTCCATATTCCTGCCGCCCCACTTTCGGCTCTTCTCTCTCTCTCAGGCTGAAGAGGAGTATATTAGGGGAGGGGATGTGAAATAACTCATTCCTCCCATCGATATCCGAGTGCTCACACCAATATTTACTCTCCACCCTCCAACCTGGCTGTCTTTAATGAAGAAAGAGGAGCACGGCGTCAGGGAACGACAGGAAAAAAAAAAAAGAGAATGAGATTTTTAAGGAGAAGCAGTGAGATGTCTGGATATCTGTTAGAAGGGAAGAACTTGTGTTGAAGTGTTGGTTAAAAACATTCCGTCTACTTTTGCATCCTGACATAAACCAAATCAGCTTCTTGGACACTTCTTATGTATTTTGTGATTGCATAGAATTTATGGCCTTGTTTCAAAACAGCTACAGCAGCGTGTGTGTAAGTATGTAAGTGTGTGCTCTTAGCTTGTAACTGCTCCAAAGTTATGATTTGTAGCCCACACTATCTCCTCGAGTTTTACAACAGTACTTATTTTTCTGTCTACAGACAAATAGATAAGATGAAAAGCTTTAATCGCAGGATAAGGGATGAAAAGGCTTCTGTTCATCCCAGTGAGTCAGTGTGTGTTGGTGCATTTATATATTTTGGTGTGTGTTTCTCTGTCTGAGTCATGTCAGCAGTGGCACACAAGGTTACAGTCATTCTTCACTTCCATATTCATCCCTCCCTATTTTTCTTCCTCACACTCAAGGAGACCAGGAAGAAGTAAAGTATAGCACCAACATAGAGTTTAGAAAATAAAAGCCCTTGGTGTTTACAGCCGAGGCACGACTCAGACTCTTTTCGTTAAGTTCTTTGACTTGTTTATTGATGTGCTTTTGTTTTTTTCCTCTACTACCTGTTTCTTCTGTACTATTCTCTGCTTTTTTCCATTCCCCATATGTTGCTGCCTTCCAGCTGGGTTTTCCTGTAGTTTACGACCATGTTTAGTATGAGACAGTAAATGTCTTTGATGATGTTTCAAGTGCTATGATAGGTGGGTGGGAAGGAGTGGTTTATTTTTGGACCCCTCCTCATATGTTTTGACTCCATGACAGCAGCAGCCACTGGTTATGGGCGTTACGTTGTTGGGTTTTCCGCCTGTCCCATTCTTGTGAACATAATATCTCAAGAAGCCTTCCAAGGAATGTCTTCAAATTCAGTCCAAATGTCCAGTTTGACTAAAGGATGAACTGAAAAGATTTTGGCGGTCAAAGGTCAAGTTCCAGATCCCTGTTAACATTTGAATGCTTAATCTTAAGAATGCCTTAAGAAAATCCTTACAAATTTGGCACAGATGTTCACTTAGAGTCACATTTTAGATGTGGACGATGCATTGGTTGGCGGAGGCATTCAACTGCATATGAGGTGGTGCCTTTTGACATTTTCACCGTTTTCCCAGGGATTAATTCATGGATCTTGATGGAACAAACAGACACACTGAGCTAACTCATATCTATGAGTGTATGAAATTTGGTGCAGCTTTTGATTTAATTTAAAGGGTCTGTTGGGGCCTGGGGGAGATATGTTCTCTACTGAGTGCCATTGTGCTTTTTCATAAAACTGACCCTTATTCCAATTCTGTATGTCTCTGTCCCTTTTTTTCCTCTTTGTCTTACTCTGCTTTTGCCTTTTTTTATTTTTTTTTTACTACATCTCTTTCTGCCTCTTTTTTTCTTCTATTCCCAGTCTGGATGACGAAGGCGAGTTGGTACTAATTCCATGGGATGAGCAGAGACACAGAGAGATGGACTGGTGCGAGGCAGAGGACTGCAGGTAAACCGTGACATCACTCTCGATATAAACACGCGGCATCATGGCATTGCAGGGAAAGCATTACAATAAACCAAGCTTGGACAATAAAATACTGTGTATCATAATAAACTCTTACCCTACCCATGATAATAAAGCGTAGGATTGCAAGAATTTCTGCTCCATAACGGACAGATGCTTATGTTGACATCATTATGTGAAACTTGACATCCTCTTATCCAAATGTTAAACAGAACCATAACAACTAATACCAGATCTCATTGCACCGCCAGTTTATGCCATTTGCCTGCTCCTGTACGGAGGCCAGCTTCATTTGCAATTTTATTTCTCAAGTTTTTTTTTTTTATTGCTCTTTTGTTCACTGTCACATTATCAGTTGGCAGCTGTGGCATCCTTGGCCAGGAACTGCAGGGTGAAATTGTGATACCGTGTGGAGTTACGGTGATGCCAGCGATGTCTAAGACCGTGTTTATGACATGTGTCATCTCACACGCTTATTTGTTTTTCTTCCTCTGCTTCTGTGGTTTATTCTCCATATTTTTATTGTTTCTTTTTTCTCTCCCTTTTTGAGCTAACACTGTCTACTCCCTCTGAAAAAACAAGGCTGGTGATATTCTATTTTCGTTATTCTCAACAAACCCATGAAAAGACCAAAAGCAACAGTGTTAGGAGGCAGACTAACACTTTCTGACAATTTTTTGACCTTCAGCCCTGAACCCATTGATCCCTACTGAGGAAGTCGTTAAAATTAAAATATTCATTCTACCTATGGAAATTATATCTCAAGAACCTTTTATTTAATCAGCTTCACATTTGGCCAGAGGAATTGCACTGCGTCTCAGCTACTGCAGGTCACTTTACAGTTTCAGGTTCAGCTGCAACCAGCATTAGCACAGGCCAAGCAAGCAGCCAGGTTTAGAATGGGCACCGTCACCTAACAGTGTTACCCATGATGTGTTTCTGGAGACCTCTGTGGTGTAGAGGTTGAAGATATATCAGAAACTGGCTAACACATAAGAAAAACGATTCATTGTTGATTTAGGTATTTTTTTATTACAATAAATCAGAATACCACCAGCCGAATTGCTTCCCTAAAAAATATTATGAATAAAATACACGTTTGCAAAACACATTTAAAACGCTCCTTCCCAATGTCCTCCTCAGAGCGGTGCTGGAGCAGAACCTTTTTGATGATGACAGTTTCCTGTATGAGGAGGTTCCAGAGCTGCTGAGGTTCCGCGCAGCCACACCCTCCATCGAGCTGCTGACAGACTGGTATCACAGCAGAGCCCAGGACATCGACTCCTGCTCCAGACAGGTGCCAACATCAGTACACTCCACCTGTAGTGCTTGTTGGATGGTTGAACCTCCTTGCATCACAACTTTTCAAACCAATCTGAAAATGTGTGGAGTTACCACCCCCTGTGTTAATGTGGTTAATGCATCTTAGCCCTTTTCATGACGGCATTGTTTTTCACCCACGCTCCATTTCTTGCTCTCCAACATGGTTGGACAAGAAATCATAATAGCTAGATCATCAGTGTACCTCTTTACCATCTTTAAATCTTTAAGTCGGGGCTTTAAACTGTGAAAGTGCTGTTCAGACAGCTGGCTGCAAAGAAGTGTTCCTCAAGCGTTTTGGCTCTCAGCAGCTACCACTTGCACAGAATCATGGGACATTCTGTTGTCCTCATTTTCACCTTGTAATTAGTTTTTTTTTGTGAAAGTCCAACTGGTAGAAATTTCCCTTTTTCATGGTGAAACCTGTTTTCACACCCTGCTCAGGTTTCTTCTCAGGATCCTCAGTTGAAACTTCCAGCAGCAGAGAGGAATCAATAGACATCTGGCAAACTGGAAGATTGTTGCCGTGACACATTTCTTTCCTTCGTTATCTCTTCTTTCATTGGAGCAGAAAAATGTGATGAACAGGGGTTTAGGCTGCAGAAGAGATGTTGCCAACCTCCATCAGTCAAGGTCACTTTGATCCTATCTGTGACAGCCATTATCATATTTACCATATGGGCTTCTAATGAAGAGTAACCAAAGCTTCTGTCATGTGCAGTTCTGTTGCTGGAACTGAAAAATAGGACTTGATAGGACTTGTTTAGTGGAGTAATGGGATGTAACTGCCGGAGCTGCCTACTCTCTCCACCCACACCATCCACACCGCTGCTCTTTCGCCTCTTTGCCTCCCTTACAGTGATGGATCAAGGTTGTCACAGGGCTCTCTTTTGTCTTTGTGAAAGGACTAACTAGGGTGCAGTCATGTCTTTCCCCTTCATCTCTCCATTTCATCCCTTTCACTGGGTGTAAGGAGGATGAAGGAGGAAGATTTGGGGGGTGCGTTGCTCAATCTCGAAGACGACTGGAGAATCTTTCATCATCCACGAAGGAGAAATAGGAGACAGTGAGTGACAGAGTGTTTGTGCAGGAGCAGGTCTCCGTTAATGTCTAGGAAACACACAGGCTCTCTCTTTCATTCTCTCTCTTGTTCCCTTTTAATTAGACCTCATCTGGTTTTGCTCTCTCACGCGTTACTCCAGGAGCCTCTTGGGACCATCCCTAACGCTTATGTCTCCTGCTCTTTCACACAGTTCTTTCTCGCTTTCAAACCCACACGGAGAAGCGACATAGAGAGACGTTGGAACAACTCCCCCCCCCACACACACTCTTCCTGCCCTCTTTACTTTTTTCGTCTCATTTGTTCTCCCTCGTTTGCACCCTCCTCCCATCCTTCATCTGGCCATGTTTATGCTCGGGAGAGCGGTTTAATAGAGGAAAATGGGGTTTGATTAAAAGGAGCCACATCAGAGTAAGCGTGAATTCTAAACCAGTCACAGAGCGGCAGGAAGCGAGGCACTGAATGGGAAGATTGACAAGATGACTTAGAGACAGAAAGAGAGAGAGACAGGTTTGAAAAATCAGAGAATGGAAGCGCAACCAAAAGAAAGAAGAAAAGAAAAAACGCTTGGCCAGTGCAACATCCCTTGTTAGTTTAAAGTAAGTTACAAAAAAAGAAAAGGAGAGGACAGCACTAACAGATGTTGAGGTAAAAAAAAGAAACTAATCTCATGGAAAGAGTTGTCTGCTGGAAAGAAAATAACCCGTTGTAAGGGGGTGAAAGGATAGAAATAAAGGGTGTTTAAAAACAAGTGTTGGTTGCAAAATGTCACAAAATGAGCGGTTGGATTTGGAAAAAGCAGACAGAGCAGAGACGGACATACACAGAAGGCAAAGGGCCAGAGTGAGAGTTCAAACAAAGACCAACCATAATTACTGTTGCACAGTTCAGTCAAGAGGTGTGAAGTGAGAGAAGATGCAAAAATTGAACACAGTTGAAGAGAACATGTGAAAATTATGTTTGGAAAAAAGGACTGAGATTGGACAGGCAGGAAAAAACAAAGATGGTTAAAAGGAAACTCGAGACAAAGAGGGAGGCAGAAGATAGAAGTTTGTTAAAGAGTAGGGAGGCAACATTTCAGTGCTGTTTCAATGGGCTTCATAAGTTATCGGGGACATCATTAACATCCATCCTGTGTTATCCACTAAATTGAGGTCTGAAGGCACCCAAATGTGTCGTGAATGCGTCCTGAGGTCCAATATCTCAAACCACATTTGGAGGTGGTCTGTGAACTTTAAATGCATCCTGTGTCATATATGACGTCCTACTCAGATGACGTCCTCTGACCCGCTCCCGTTTGACGATGACTTAAAGTATTTCAACACTTCACTGCCACAATATCAACACTGACCAACACATAATGATTTGTTTCATGCAGGTGAAATGTTTTGTTAATATAATGTGCAGGTTCCAGGCGCAGCATTGTTTAATCAAGCCCCTCCTGACACTGCTCTATCTCTACCTTTCTCTCTGACTCACAGAAACACACATTGACACGCACACAAGCAGAGTGACATCAGACATGTTGTCAGGTGTGAACAGGACCTCTGTTGATGTCTAGATTCCCACTTACTACATTGTCTTTCTGCAGTGTGATGGTAGACCTGTATATATTTTTTGAGAAGGAGAGCTAATATTGTATGGAGGTAGCTAAAAACAAAGGTTCCGCAGTATACAAGCATTACGCAAGTATGACCCTATAGTCTCTTCCACACAGTGAAGTATACGCTTATAATTAAACCCTGATATCAGATCGGTACTCTGCATCAGCTAATACCCAAAGCCCAAGTGCTGGTTTCAATCCCAGGAATGAAAAAGTTGGATTGTTGTGTCCCTATTGGAGGAGAGAATGAGAATGGGAGGTGGTAATTAAAAAGTGAGAAATTTTAACAGCTGAATACTCTGCTGTTGGCAGGGGGAATCTATCTCTTGAGAGCAGGGAAAGGAGATAAGGAGAGCGGGATGGTGAGAACTCAGAGGATCTTTACTCACAGTGAGATCAATAGATTCCTCTCTCTCGTGTCTAATTGCTCAGGCTCTAACTCAAGGTGTTTGTGTGCGCGCGTTAGTGTGTATGTGTATGTGTACATTTTTACAAATGAAGGCACGCAGTTATTTATTCAGCCAGAAACTTGTTGAGATAAACTGAAGAGGACGAGGTTGCAGAACCTCTGTGTTTGTGTGCATGTGCAAGCAAGACGCTACTCTAACCGCTACGTCAATGGGCTCTCCTCTGAAAGGTGGAGAGTAAGCAATCATCACTACAGGGGCCCAGCGGCATCTGCTATTGATTGGCTTCTATCCACAGGTGGATGAGCATCAATTGGCTGGGCAAGCTGCCAGCATAAAGGTGGTCGGATATTGATCGGTTGCTCTTCTGGATGAAATTTTATCAATGTGAGTAGTGGGAAGCCCCAAATCTTTCCTGTTGTGTTGTCCAACGACTAATGATTGGATATTAGTCGTGACTGATCTGTTCTATTTGGGTTTTGATTGGTGAGATATTGTTGTTTTCATTATGTTTCATGTGTTCACAGCAACACGTTTTCAATTATGTGTGGCTTTGCTTTGAAGAACGTCTGTTACTGCCCAAACAATAAAGACAGCACTATAAAGTACACAACATCAAAAATAACCACAAAGGTCATTCAGCATATGTCACAATGTAGAGATTAAACATCACAGGTTTCACAAATGTTGGATATCTGCAGAGCGTCTGTGCTGTGTTGTGTCTGACTATAGGGTCTATGTTATTTCTTCCCCATTCTGGAGTTTCCTTAATTAGATGTCATGTTGTTAGAAGTTGAATTTGAGTGGGATTACTTCATTATCCTCCAGGACTTCTGGAGTGACTTATTTGTTGTTGTTACATTAGTCATCTCACACTAAAAGTGAACAGGGTGGCAGAAGCTCCATGTTACAGGGTTATTGCAGCATTCAATAATCTGGATTAAACTCTCCTGATTTTCCTTCCTTGACATAAATCCTACATTTTATTCATTGTGGTCTTAAAAAGTCTTAACTTAAATTGTTGAAACCATGAGAAACCCTGCTTTAAGATGGAAGATATATTTGAAGAGATAGTTTTTAGTCAGTTGGTTTGTCAGTCCATCGCTTTCATCAAGTCTGAAATAATGTCTGAAGATCTTTTGGATGGATTGACAGGATGTTCTGCTGAGTTTAGTGATCAGACTGTTCCTAGTCCCTCCTGTCATTAGTGATTGAATTGAATTGTCTTCACAGTTGTTGGATTTTCATGCACAAATGGGCTTTGTGAACTTTTCTGATCACCAGACTTTTCATCTAAAACCATGATCACGTCACAACTTTGGTTTAAACTATATTTTGGTTTTGTTTGACAGTTTGGCTTCAGCTTTACAATACACATTAAAATGTCACAGAGCTGCTAGTATTGCTATATTCAAACAAAACACAAGAGCCTTTGCTAGTCCCAGACTCACACTGTTTTACCATACAGTGCACACGTTCACATACGTTATCGAATATGCTCACGACCATCTGAACACCCATGGGCGTCTTAATATGAGGTGTGGTGAGGCGCATTGTTGGTACATGATCTCGAGGCAGCAGGAAATGATTGCACTTGTAAATAACAAAATCCTGAAATCTGAAGTCCGCTGCATGGTTATGTGTAGTTCACTGTTATTTTAAGGCTGCTTTATCAAAAGAGTTATTCACACCTACATAGGCGGGTGCACAACACATGCACACTTGTTACACACACAGATGGTCTGCTCGCAATATGCCGAAGTGCAACGACATCTGGCTTTTTAAGGGAATTGGAGATGGCTCTCCATTTGGTTCATTGCATGTCATGCCCAACACACACCCATGATTAATTAAGTAGAACCCTTTTTTTAAAACGTGCGTCTGAAGAAGCAACACTTTCGTTTTCTGTGAAATGAGCAAAAGTGGATTGGACACATTTGATCGTTAAAATACAGCCAGCGAGACAAGACTTAAATAATGTACAGAGTGTTAAATATATTACACGAGATGAAGGATGCGTTTGCCATCACTCGATGCTGAAAAGGCATTCAGCATTATTAAATGGCCTTTCCTGAGGGTGGTCTGGCAGCATTTTTTAAAGTGGTAATGACACCGGTTAAAATGGCGGCTTTATTTACATCTTACGCCCTTGGTTCACGTGTGTGTGTGTGTGTGTGTGTGTGTGTGTGTGTGAATTTATTTTCTTTTGTTTTTAATGTCTTTTCGTGTTTATTGCCGTCATCACTCAGTCGACTTGCTGACCAATCCATTTGTTTCATTTTTATGCCTCTGACTGTCCATCCCATTCTCTTGAACACGATATCTCAAGAATGCCTTGAGGGGATTTTTTTTGGTGTAAAAAACATTCACTTGGACTCAAGGGTGAACTGATGAGATATTGGTGGTCAATAACGACTCACAAAGCACATTTTTGCCTTTTTAATGTGATACCTCTGGAACACCTTGAAGGATTCCTATTAATAGTATCAAATAAGATCAGATTCTAGTATTAGCAGAAACACTCATTTGTATGGTTAATTACTAGGATAAGGCCAGCTGTAATTAGCTTTATCAAAACGGTTGTGGTTGGGATCAGCATCTGTCAGTACGACTGAAAATATTTTTACGTCAGCCTTGAGGTTAGATTTTGGTGTGTGTTTGTTTGTTAGCAGGGTTGTGGTATGCACACTCATTCACTTTCATCTTCTGATATTCCTTTTTCATTTCTTCTCTTTCTGTCTCTCTCGTTGCAATTTGTGACCGCACACCAGGTGGACTGCGCCCTGTCACTGGTGCGCCTGGGGAAGGAGCGGGAGATCCCTGGGTTGACGCTGCTGTGTGATGACTTGGTCACCATGGAAACGCTTGTGTATGAAACATCATGCGAATTGAGTCTGACATTTAAAGACCTGCAGCAGTTAAGTGACATCGATAAGCTCCGCCTGCTCATGAAAAATGTAAGTTGCACAATTTTCACCTTTCAGATTTCACACTCTCCCCTTTTCTTTGCCAGACGTTTTGTCATATGTTTCCTAACTGATAATTACTTTTAAAGTGACATTCTTATGTTGTAAAATTATTTTATTTTTAAATTGTTTGCAGGGTGTTGCTCTCACTAGGCTGTCACAGTTTTGAAAAAGATCATGTTATTGAAATAAAAATCTCTCTCTCCCCCTATTACATAGTATTTTGCATTCTAACATTTATTAATTATAATTTGTAGTTATTATAATTATAAAAAGTGTTAAATGTTCTAATTCACACTAACTGAGGTGTTAATTGTCTAAAAAAAGATAAGAATAATTTCCAGGCTATTTGCCTACAACTACATTTCATTTTAAAGCTTCATAGTTCTATCATTGACTTCAATCCTTGATTGTTTCTTTAAAGAACACAATGTTTAACTAATAACCACTTGAATGGGCAAAAAAATCCATCAGAAAAACTGCAGCGTTGAATAGAAATCCCACAGTAAATGAGTTCCTTTTCATTCCTGAAATCCCTGATATTTGACTACATGAACTTGGGATCCAAAAGCAGCGATAGAGCTATGAAAGCCAGTCTGCAGCACTTAGTACAGTTACAAGTCCCCTTGGAGTACATAATATGAGCTGTCCTCTAAATTGACGCTAATAACTGCCAGCTTTAGCCTGTGAGGACCACTGCCAGTAGGATCTGCCATATAGGCAGGCAGCCAGCTAATGTTGTTGACTGCACTAACACATGCTGTTTGACTGGTTCTCCCTTTGGGCACTGAGTGTGTCTGTGTGTCTGTGTGTGCGTGTCTGTGAATGTTTACCAAACTAGCTCAGATTAAATCTCCCTCCTTGCCTGTGTCTGATGTCTTTCTTTATCAGCGACGTAGTACAGCAAAGTAAAATGTTGGCGTGTAGGTGTGCAAGTTTGCATTTAGCACCTGCACACACCTCTCATTTTCCCCATGGGTGCTCTCTTATCTGTCGGAGCTGGCACATAGCTGGTGCAGAGCTCTGCACAAACCTGACATGCGTCCTCACGATCTGCAGAACAGCCCACATACAGTACTGGAGCTATTGTAGCTCAAGTTTAATCACATGGTAAATTTAGTTTGAAATACTTTTTAATGTTCTAAAAACATTACAACAGAGGAGATATTTCTATTTCCATGAACAAGGAAATGTTCTCACAGGGTGGGTATGTACTCTTATTTTTTCACCCAGCTTTCACACATAAGCTCTGAGGTAATCCTCTTGTAGCATGACCCTGTCACTCAATCACACTGTATTTCAAGGTTATGTGACAGAAATCTTTCCAATTGATTTCCCCAGAAAAGAAATGAGAAGTTTTTTACACATGGGGAATATATTTCCATTATGGCATCAACACACAACCAAACCAGCACTTGACCTCTGGGTTAACTGGACACTTCTGATGCTATAGCTTTAGCTGACACCATACTGTTACACTCTTAAAGTAAAAGGACTGTCCACCTACCATAGACCTACATAGACTCTGCATAGGGCACTTTTCTCCATTGCCACAATATGTCAATGGCCTGTAAACACATATGAGCTTTGTTTTTTCTGGATTAATAGCAGTAAAATCTTTAGCTCTCTCAGTTGATTTAAATTAGTTGTTTTTAATTCAAGGGTTTGCATATGTGCAGAACAAAAGTGTCTCCAGTTTCTTAGAATCTTTATAGTTGGGCCACAATCATTGCTCAATGTTTAACAGAGTTATTATCAATGTTTAATTTACATGAGCTTATCTAAATTCTGCTGAAAAATAGTTCATTAAGTTTGTCAAGCATATATTTATTTATTTCCCCCTTGGTCAGTATTTGTGGAGTTAACCATATATAATATAGCTATTTCATGAAATGTGCAGAAATCATTTATTGTGTAAATAAATGGCTGTTCTGTGTATGGAAAAATCATTTCAGTTTGCTTGTGCTGAAGGTCAGATTTTGGTTTGTTCACTTTGCAATACTGAAGAAAAAAAAAAACGTCCCTGATTGACCATCACTGATAGAAATGGAACTATATCAACAAATAGAATAGTGACACACAGGCAGTCAATTGCTTACAATCTCCGGTTCTTCTTTAGAAAGGACATGTCGTCTTCATTTGCTTTGTGAGGCTTTTTTTTTTTGCTAATGTTTGAATCTCTTTTATATATGGTCTCAATACATTGAGGGCAGGAACTGTTAAAAAATATATGGTCAGTATTGTATTTTGAAAGATGGGAAAAAATGGATGGTCCAGGTTAAAAGGATTTGTCCTCAAGCATAAGCTTGAAATGACTGCTATTAGTAAGTCAATGGGTGTGCATTTTTTTATTATACTGTACAAAGTGTGTTTTTAAGAAAATGTCCTTCCATCACCAGTCTAGCACCGAGCGCTACGTGAAAGACGCTTTCCAGTGGATGGTGCCGTTCCTGCACCGCTGTGAGGGACAGAGAGAGGGCGCTGCTAAGTGTCTGCTCAGAGAATACCTGGTCAGCCTGGCCCAGCGAGACCTCGCGCTGCCCCTCGTCGTCTTCCAGCACTCCAAACCTGACGCAAGTATCCACACGCACAAGTGTAGAGGTCGTCAGGCTAGACATAGCCATAAACAGAGGGACGGCAAAATGGAAGCACACACTTGCACACAGTTCGTCATGTCAGGCCTAGTGTCGTAGCCCTGTGCTATAAATGTTATATTTATGAGGCCATAAGGGCGCAGCCAAGGACAGGTCCCCTGGCTATTAAAAAAACATGCAGCGCATCGCACAAACACTCAAACAAGAGGAATACACTCAAAATAATACACCACCACAGTGTGTTTGTACAAAAAGACTACAGGGTTAGTCATCCCTTCACACACACAAACACGCTGACTTCTCCTCCCCCCTTCCTCTCCTCTCTTTTGCAGTGCCAGCAGAAGATCATCGGGGACCCGGACCAGCTGATGGTGGTCGCTCTGGAGTGCATCTACAGCTGTGAGCAAGATGACCAGCTCAGCCTCTGTTATGACATCTTGGAGTGTCTGCCGCAGAGGGGCTACGGGTCAGACACACAAACAAACACTCACAAAGCCACAACAACACACACACGCAATTCAAGTGGACTGATGCTGTTTAATTATGTAAACCATGAAGCATTTCACCACTGACACATTCACAAGAATCCACTGGTCCCAACCTCTGTCCCTTTTTTCCTTCCACCTTTCCCTTTCCTCCTCTCTCCAAGGAACTGTCTACTGTGACTGAGTATCAGGGCCATGCTAAAGAAACAGATGTCTTAATTTTACGAGCATAAAGTAAATAAGTATCATTAGATTAGTGTGCTGCCTGTGTTACAATGAGGAATATGGAGCATCTTGTTAAATTGAACTTTAATATAGGTTTCACAAATAATTAGGGACTTTAAATTTTGCCAATAAGCACCACATTATCTAAAGTATCAGGACTTAGGAAAGATTATGAAAGAAACTGTTGATTCCGGAAAAAAAAACTCCACCTGGACTTGAAGGTTACATCTGTGTGACATTCAAACAGGTGGCATAGTTTCACAATGAGATCTGAGAACTTCTTTTTTCTTTATTCTCGTAAAATGACTACTTTATTATGTTAAGATTTTCTTCTCAATTTTAACTTTCTTCTTGTAATATTCCGACTTTATTCTGGCAACATTATTACTTTATTCTTGTAGTCTCAGAATTGTTTTTTTCCTTTTACGTACCGGATTGTAATCAACAAACCCAGCTATCATCTCGGTCACTCCTTCTCTCTCCCCCTCTCTCTTTCTCTCTCTCATTCATGCTTGACTCCCAGCAGCTGTCACTTGGCCTACCTTCATTCAGTATTTTTGTCCTCCTACTTTTTCTGTCTTTGCCCTCACTCCCCTTCTTCCTCTGTGACACATTTTATTTTATATGGCAAGAGGGCCCGTCCTTTAAGTCTCCCACGAGTCTGTGTGGGTAGGCAGAGCTTCTGAAGGAGAGTGAATGATAATCAAAGACTAAGAAGGAAAAAGTGTGTCATTGTGGTTTAAATGAATTCAAATGATGCATTCTTTGATGGATTACTCATCCTTTGTGCACCTTAATTGGAACATTGAATTACAACCATGAGGAGAGCTTGTTGTTTTGGCTGCAATGAAGAAACCGAACTTTTCAACAAATCATCTCTTGACCTTTTCAACTGGCTCATTTAGCTGCTCTGTGGTGTGCTGTGCTGTGATAATATGTATTTCCGCTGCACGCTCACAGCAGGGGATAACTGCAGTGAAACAAGATTTTATGGAACTGCTTGGGAACAGGGACACTCAGCTGAGGAGTCTTGTGCTAACCTGAGCAAGTTTTGCTTTGCTAATTTGAAGCTAATCAGCTGCAAAGTAGTTTTATTGCTTTTGGGTAATCTAGAGTCAGTGGTTTTGTTCCACTCACCTATACTCTTCTTTTTTTAAATTTCTTTGAAAAAGCTTTGGTTTTGATTTCACTCAGCATTTGCTGTACTATCTTTAGTCTAATTACATATTTACAATGATTAATATGTGAAGTACGGCTAATACTGGGCAGCACGGTGGTGCAGTGGTTGCCTCCCAGCAAGTTGGTTCTTGGTTTGAATCCTAGCTTAGACAGGGTCTTGTGGAGTATGCATGTTCAGTCCAAAGACATGCATTGAGATCAATTGAAGACTCTCAATTGACCAATGGTGTGAATGATGTGAATGACTGACTTGTCTCTGTGTATTGGTCCTGGGATACGCTGGCAACCTGTGCACGTTGTACCCAACCTCTCGCCCAGTGTCAGCTGGGATTGGCTCCAGCCCCATTTGCAAGCCTTACAGGATAAATTAGTATAGATAATGGATGGATGGACTGCTGTTACTGAAGAATTAATGCTTGTTGTTTTTTTCTGTCTAGCCATGTGGACAGTTTTAGATTTATGATTGGTGGAGGAAGTATCCGAGCATTTTCCATTCATCTTCATTTCACATTTCATCTGTGCTGCTGCTGCTGCTGCAGGGGTGGGGCCTACTGTTACTGACCTGCTCTGATTGGATCAGTGATTGAATTCCCCTCTTGTGACATCTTATATAAAAAACAGTACCTGAAAAGAAGTACAGATACATGAAGAATGTAATAAAGTACTTAACAAAGTACTGTAATTCTACTGAGTTACATCCCTACACTGGGATTTATTTGCTGAAAGTTTAAAGATGTTTGCTTTGAAAGATTTTTGCTGCCAGCTCAACAAATTGGAAAAATGACATTTAACAAATTCAGCAGCCTTGTGTCTTTATGAAAAAGTCTGTTATAATGAACAGAAGTAGCTGTCAACAGCTTTTTAATGTTTACTCACCATTTTCCACAACAGAAAAATATTTCCTACTGAAACTGTAGACAGTGACTTCTGTGTTTCTGGAAGAGACCTAACTGCTGTTAGATGCAGAGATGCTCTGTGGTAAGTTCAGACGTCTGAGCTAGAGCACATGTACAACACCGAAACAGCTCTGCTTCACATCCTTCCAGAAAGATAAAGAGCTTCTCTGTGACACATGTGGAAGAGACAGTCGACATAACAGCAGTAGCTAGACGTTTAGTCAAATCTTTTTTGTCTTGTTTTTATTCAGTTCAAATCGAAAGCGTACTTTATCTCACTGAAAACGTTCATAGACTCAGATGCGGCAGAATCAAATAGATCCTGTGGTGTTTCTCAAATCACAGCTGAACTGGCCACTGCACCAAAACTGACATATTCAGCGTTATTAAGATGCATTCTCTTAATTGCCATTTAATACTGAAGTATATCTGTTGAGCTTAATAACAAGTGAAAATTGGGTATTAAAAATACATGACTGCGTATAATACTCCCTTTGCCAGACAGGCCTCCCTTCTGCAGTAGTCGGATTAGCAATGCTGCAAGGCTGTACTGCGTATGCCATGCCTCCGAATTCACATTTCTCCCAGGAGTGATTTCTCTCAACTTACTAAGCTCCAAAATTGCCACCGCAGCCCAGAATATTACAGATTTCTGAGCAAGGAGAGAGAAATGACGACTTAGTAGTTTCAACCCAATTTTCAGATTTTTTTCAGCGAGACCGCTTAATTAGGTCTAAATCTGCTCAGAAGAATATAACATGCATTCTGCCTGGGAGAGTGGAAGGGAATGCAGAAATGGGCAGGGGATTAGGTGGTGTGTGTGTGTGTGTGTGTGTGAGGGAGAAAGAGTGTGTGATAGACTGAGGGAGAAAAGGGTTTTAAAACAGAGGAAGAGCAGAAGGTGGAGCTGAACAGACAGGCTGAGAAAAAGAAAATGATGCAGAGAGGTCAAGACTGAGTGTTTTTAACACACACACAAACAAACACAGAGAAGGTTGTTTCATCAGGGTCAGTACTCCAGTGGGGTACAGGCCAGCCTGACCCAGAATCCTTTGCCTCAAGGCAAAGCATCATGGGGTTTTATTTTTAGTGGGGAATTGGTACTACCTCACAGTGGTAGGCAACACCCACACACTCACACCTACACAGTTCAATGTGTACTTGAAGCATAAATACACACTCGGGTATGCACTCGCTACTTTTCTGACGCAGAAGAAATGTCAACTTAATATTCCTGATGTTTGTTTACCTGTGATGTATTTTATTAAATAAAAACAATAATCCAAGATTTTGTGTGTGTGTCATTCTACAGGCCGGAGACGGACATCACAGCATCACTCCACGATCAGGTGGACAAACTTGAGAAGCATCTCAGGTACATCAACATTTGGACCATCTTCCAGCTGTAATTGTCCCTCTGCGTCTCCCCGGCCCCTATCCACTACCAGCTGCACGGGCAGATTAGAGATGAATTTACAAACACTAGGTCTTTCCAGGCTGATATGGATTTGTTGCTTTTCTCTCACTTTTAATTGAATGTCCTCAGGTTCTGGACTGTTTGTTGAACTAGACAAGTATTCAGTCCAGGCGTGTAGTCCATACGTTTCTGTTGTACCCATTTTCAGGGGATTTAAAGTGCTGAAGAGAGCAGCCCTTCGGTTTGGTGATTAATACTGCGTTGCTTGGGAAATGTTCACTTTGTAGCAGTGCTTATTATTTCCCTCCCCCAATTATGAGCCTGATGGAAAACACAAGAGAGAGAAGAGACGTGGATGTACAGTCAGTACACACACACACACACACACACACACACACACACACACACACACACAATCAAAGGACCACTGTCTATCCCATGGGTTTCAAACAGCCTCCGGCATTTTCTCTGTTACAGGTCAAAATCACCTACGTTCATCTCTCTCTCCGTCCATCCCTCTCTCTTTATTTTCTCTTTCTCCTTCACTCCTCTCCTCCGGGTGAACGTCTGCACATAGAGGAGTGACGAGGAGGATGGAATATAAAGATGAAGGCTGGGGTAGGGCAGGAGGGAGCCTGAAGGGAATGGGAATGTAGATGATGATGAGGAGGAGGAAGCAGCAAGAGGAAAGCCTGTGTTACAGCTCAGTGTTGGCCTTTACTGACAAATATTCACACATATTTACACACAGGCACACAGCGGATGCAAAAATACACCGCCTGGAGAACCGGGAAAGTGTGTTCATGTATATGAAACATCGTGGCTCACTCACTCACTCGTACTCAGATGAATCAGGTAGTAAATGTGAAGTGTCTGCTCTGCGAGTGCCTCCAGAATAAAAGCTGTTTTCAGCTGCTGCCACTACCACTTGCCTGCACATTAATATGTGCACAGGGAACATGCAGACACTCCCACACAAACATTCACATTCAAGCAAATATGCTCATGGTTGTAAATATCAGGGCTTGCTGTCAGTCTCTATCTTATGCTCACACACACACACACACACACACAGGCACCTGATTACTATGGTAATGAGCTGCAGCAGAGGGCGAACATCTGTAGCGGCACGACCCTGTTGAGACTGGGGGTGCCATGCTAATCCCACACCAACACACGCATGCACACGTGCCCTCTTCCTCTCTCGGTCATACATCACTACCGGTGTCAACACACTCTCACACATACACAAACACACAAAAAGCAGTGCTGTGTTGTTTTATCTTCTTGCTCTTCATTCCTGCTCTACACTTTATCCATCAGCACTGTGGCTGGCAAATGACTTTCTGCTGCCAAAATAATGAACAGCTTAGAGCGTACACATCCTGTCTTTCTCCGTCTTACTTGCTCACTTGGATCCCCCCCCCCCCACGTTTCTTCTCTTTTGGCTTTTTTCTGATACCTGCTGCTGCCAGCCTTCCTGTGTGCTCCGTTTGCTGATTGAACGTTCTGATTAATGTGACTCAACAGTGTATGCCTCTGTGTGTGCATATTCTTAACAGTGTGGTGGAGGTTCTTGAGAAGCACGGTCTGCAGAAGCCCATCTCATATGTGAGGAACAGCCAGAACAGCGAAGAGGAAGCCCACCAGCTCATGGTCAAACTGTGCCGCCACACTGGCCGCAAGTATGGAAATGCAGAAGTGCACTTTCATTTGCACAAAATCCCCTAAACATACCGAGTATTTACATGTTAATGTGTTTACAGAAACCCTCCAGTGAGTGAGACGGTGTGGAGAGGGCTGATGCAAGACCTGCTGGACATGCAGCAGAACGTCTACACATGTCTGAAACCAGAGATATGTCACCAGGTACTGCAACACAGCAAAAACTTCACTACACACAAAATACTCTGATATTAAAAGTGTAAGTTAAAGTGTTCTTTTAGTTTAAGGTGTAAAATGTGTACATATGCACATTTTGTACCTTTAATGACACTTATGTCCCTAAATAAACATTAAACTGCATTTTCCCACCTCCAGACCCTCTCAATGAAGAGTAAAGATTAAATAACTACAATGCTCCTTATCAAACAATGTTTAAACTTTTGTTCCCTTAAACACTATCTCTCCCAACATATCACTTTATCTCTGCTTCTCCCCGACTCCTCCAGGTATTTGTGGAATCTCTGTTGTGCTCCAGCCGTGTGGAGAACGTGCGCCTGGCAGGGCAGCTCATGCATTGCTCGCAGGTATATATTAAATATGACTTGCAGCTCCACTTCAGAGCTGCACTCACACCGCCTATTGGGGACTCCAGCTATTAAATCACACCACAATGAATGTTAATGCGTGCAATCTCATTGATGTCTTGATTTTGAATTAATGCTTCCAGGTCAGCCAAGATGTTCCTGTCAGCTTGTCATTCCGGGGCAAAGGTTACGCTCTGAAGGTGGCCTATGACAACAGTGTGGAATTAGTGTTGGCTGCCGCCAGAGAATACTTCAACTCCTCCACAACGCTGACGGACCCCTGTATGGGCCTGGCTAGGTGAGGAATGAAATGAGGATGAGCATTTCCATCCATTTGAGGAGTAGTATTTTAAGGGGCTTTAGAAGATTGTGTGAGACTGTAGATTTCATTTGGTAAAGATTAGTAAAGATAAATGTTCTGTACTAGATTGCACTTTATATGATCAAACTCATACAATGCAGAAGTGTTCGTGTGCGATCTGAAACCTTGTGTTGATGTTATGTTTTAAAAACACCATTTATTTATGTGTGAGTGGATGTATGCTTTTGTGTTCTTATTGCTGGTGGCTGCTTTTATATCTCCTACATTATTTAACACGAAGTTCACAACAAGTATTTGTATGTGAGTTGTTTGTGTGTGTGTGTGTGTGCGCGAGTGTGTGTGTCGCTGGTTTCAAATCACAGAGGGTTGCGGTGGGTGTCTAACCTTACCGTCTGTTCCTAGTGGGGAAGTGGGACAGTAATTGGGTCGTCATTCATTTATAGTAACTAACACATGAGGCCTCCCTCCGCACACTTGGACAACATCATCCATTGTACCACTGTGTGTATTTTCTGCCTGTGAATTTGAGATATGACACAGAAAAGCAGTTTCTGGGCATATGCCCATCACTCTGAAATTAATCGTCCTTACTGACTGGTGGCCTTCATCCTTTAGATTAAAATAAACTGCTCCACAGACACATTTTATCCCGTGAATGAAATATCAATGACACACACACACACGTAATCAGACACGTGTTCTTCCCACAATCTGCACTTGACTTTGTCCTGTGAAGGTATGCAGCCCTGTGAATGGATGCTAAGCAAAAGTTTACACAAGGACACAATTGCTGGGGATCCCTTCTAACTATACCACAGTGATCTCACAGCATCACTCAGGAGAGACAGACAAGTGGCACACTCACATAGAGAGACTGACAAACAAGAAAGAGACAAGCAGGGAAGTGGAATGTACTTCAAAAACTGAAAACTCAAATATTACTTAGAATCCAAAATGACAAAATGTTTGTCAGACGCTGTTTGTCCTACATACGCGTCATTATCAGAGCCAGACAAAGATCAATACATATGCACCTCATCCATATTCATTTTAGTATATGCAGTAATACTTGATATCGTCACTCTATTAAATCTGTTCTTGCTTTTCAACTCAACTCCCTCTTAATTTGTGTGCTTTAATCTTCAGGCTGGTTCCAGGGAACTTGCTGTCAGTCCTGTTCTAGATAGATGAAATGTTTTCCAAATGTCTCGGGTGTAACATTTTGGAACTCGCAGGGACTCTGGTGACAGAAATGCACAGATTTCAACAGTCATTATGCAGAAAATAAAGCCTAAAAGGAATGATTTGTTTTGTTGCTGGTTGTCTCTCTGGTATTTGAGAAAGCTCATCTTACGAGACCTTGAGTGGTGAGAGAGCTGGAGCAGAAATGAAATAGAGATGAAGAAAGCATAGGAAAAGAAAACTTTGAGGGGATTGCGTCAGTTCACTGCTGCCCGATGGGCTGGTGTTCGGCTTGGTTTTTGTGTCGCATTGTTTTACAAATATTAACTTGTTTTCATGTGTGTTCAGCGTAGACGATTTATCTGCAGATTACAGAGCTCTTACTACAAAGGGACCATGGAAGTAGGGCTGCTGAGGGTGATGCAGCATTACATACTGGTCGGGAGCTTTAACTGCAAGACAAAGAAGATTAAACGAATTAAATTTAAATAATATATCGATTCATTTGAATGATATTTGATTTTAAAACTTTCTCTGGATGGTTCAATGGCGGCTAACCGCTATCAAATCGCCCCGAGCCTTAACTCCGTCGCTATCCCTGTACAGCAGTCTCAGTCGACAATCAATCGTGTGAAATGTCCATAGCTGAATATGGCGTCATGCTGCTTTGACTTGCAGGATGTTAATGTTCAAGTTTGCTGTCTTCTGTAGCGTAAAATGTGCTAAAACGAATGTAAGTTGTGGTCATAGAATCAATATAAAAATCTTCCCTTTTGTGCTACATTCAATGACGCCATTATACAGAAGTCCTCTTCACACCCTCAACTCCGACTGACTTCCATCATCCTTGGATTGTTGAACCTGAGACTGAGTTTTTTACCATAGTCTCTTTGAACACCGTCCACACACGCGCCTGCAGACACTTCACAACACGAGTACATAATCAACACACTCTCTCACTATCTCTCATTCGCTCATCCACAGCTCTTTCCTCTGCTGTCATTTGCCAGGACAAACCTCTTGTTCCTGGCAAGAACGCCGGCCGATACTCAAAGAGTGGCAGGCTGAGTGCTTTGCCGAGTGCATGGAGTCACGCAGTTTATTAAGATGTGTGGGTTTCTCTTATTACACCGATAAGGACTCTTCTTCCACATTAGCCATCTTTGTTTTGCTCACTGCGAGGGTCAGAGAAAACTGCGGTTCCGTGTATGTTTCCTCCTCGAGTACACATCCCAAGGACGATCCCCTCTTCTCTACTCCACTGATGCTGGTGTCTTTAAGCCGCTGATTTATGTGGGATTTATGTTAATCGAAAATTTATCATTTTATTTTTTTCCCCCACTTCTCTGCGTCTACTCTGTATTTTGCTTTGCTGTGTAATTGTTTGATGAAAAACCAAGAAAATGTGTGCACTTTAAAAGAGGCACACTCACTTTCACACAGACAGTCAGTGTCCTGTTACATATGCCAAGTGATGTGCTACATAATCCTATTAAGGGTAATGAGTGTGGATTGTGTTGCAAGAGAAACCTCCCGTGTATTAAATCTGTCAAATTAGTCTAGACTTTGTAAATAAATCCATGCGAGTCGTGGGAGCACGTTTCTGATCTCAATATTGAAATGTCACAAACTTCACGGAATTAAAGTTAACACCACTTTTCTCAAAATCTGTACCAAAATGAGCAAAAGCCATTAGTCCTTCCTCCTGAGTTTGTCATTCAGTCGGCTCTGTTGCTCCTGCTTTGCAGACATTTTCTGCAGCATCAGAGTGAAATGTACGTGACAATTTTTAAGTGCCACCATCACTCCTGTTTGAACCAAATTCCACTCATGTAGAAAACAGTTTATGATTTGAGAAACTTTTGCTTTTCTGATAATTACTTCCACCAAGGACGTTATGGTTTCATCAGAGTTTGTTAGTTTGCAGGATTACTTGAAAACGACTGATCGATTTTCATGAAACTTTTTGGGGGAAGAAAGAACCCAGCAGATACAGATAAATGGGCAGAACTTGCAAATTGTTGTCATTTTCTATGGCTTTATCCTTTGTGGAGGTATACACTCCCAGAGAGCCCCTCCAGTTGGGCAGTAGTTTGACTTTTTACCCCCCCTAAGGAGGTTTTGTTTTCGACCTGGCTGTTTGTTGGTTGGTCTGTTTGTTTGTGAGCAAGATAACAGAAAAACTACTGGACAGATTACGTATGTGGGATTGGTCAGGAAATATTCCATTACGTTTTGGTGCAGATCTGGATCCAGGAATCTTTTTATCACTTTCTTTAACGTTGCAGGGTTCTTTTTCCAAAACTGATAAGGAATAATTAACGGATCTTGATCAGGCATATTTAGGGGACTGATCCCTAGAAATGTTTAGTGTGGTGCAGCTTGATTGAATTTAAGGGGATTATTGGGTTTTAGCGGAGGGATGCACTTTTCTGGTTCACTCTGTCAGATTTATTGATGACAAGATTAAAACTGCACTCGTATCTTTCCATTTAATAAATCTAGATCCAGCAAGAATACATCTCACTATAGCTCTTGTCCATATTAAACAATTGTAATAGACATGTTATTAGTGTGCTTTAGAGCTGCTGCTAGGTGGATTTTGCTACACTGACTGGTTATTCTAGGGACTGATGAGTAAAACAGACTGAAAATCGTTTGCTGCCTCAACTGGATGTCGTGTTTTTCAGGGCGTGTCTCCAACTGATCTCGGACAGTCCTCCGGCTGTCCAGGAGGAACTGGACCTCATCAGCGCTCTCGGCCAACTGGAGGACTTCAGTGTGAACATCCTCCCGCTGCAAGGTAGAGAGAAAAATGTGTCAGAGAGAAAGACATAGACGATTTTATCAATCAACCACAAATGTGCAGTTGTGTGAGTCATTCAAGTTTTTTTAAAATAAGATTTAAGACTTCCTTCACCCATCCACCATCCAGCTTGTCTCCCTCTCTGCCGTCAGCTCCTCCAACCCTCCATATGTCACCTCTTCTCACTACTATATCTAAATATATGGTTATTTATGGATCAACTGTTGAGCAAACAACATCTGCCTGATGGCCTAATTAGGATTGAAGTGTTTGGTCTCTGCGTGTGTGCTCTCTCTCTCACACACACACACCCCCATATACCAACAAACACACACACACACAC